TTTGTGATAAATAACTTAAAATATCAATAGCATAATTTCAATTGGGAAGACACAATTGTTCATTAGAGTTAGAAAACAACAATCTGTGTGTATAGTGCGTACACAGACTTATTGAAAAGTAAATTACTGGTAAAATTTCCAGTTTCATTTAAGAAGATATGTATTCTTCAACCCAGTTTTGATTGTTTTGTTGTTGGTTTCTATCAGCAAAAAGCTACACATCAGGCTCCCGGCACTCTGTCCATTGTGAGAAGTCAAATTCTAGATTTTAAAATTATATGTCCATAAACTTACCACTGACACACAGGGGAGGCCCAGTTTAGATAAATTGGTTCTAAATGCTTTACATGAAAACTGAGTCTTTCTATTGTATTTGTGACTTCAAAATAATATCAAATGATGGAAACTTAATGCCTTATTTTACAATAGAAATCTAGAGAAACGAATTATACACTTGATAAATTTTCATACATAGCAGTAAATTAATGTACAACAGAATACATGCACAATTGCTGCATTAACATATAACAGAATCAAAGAATTTGAAATGTAAACTAGGGTAATCTTCACTTTTAGGATAAAATTTGAAGGGCATTCCATCCTCCAACTAAAGACAAATGTGAAAGCAACTTTGCTACCATTATTACCAGGCATGATAGAAATTGGTGAAAATTACTAGGGGTTAAGAACACAAATACTGTTAGGTATTTGTAAAGCCCCCTAGTAGTTAGTTAAAACTTTTCAGATCAACTTTGTTTATTTATAGAATGCCCAAATATTTACTAAAAAATTATCTATTTCTGTAAACTTCTAATTTCTAGACACTAACATACAGTAACATTACAAAATACTTTTTCTTAAGTGTTTATGAAATGCTAACAGCATTCATTAAATTTGTTCCAAATATTATTTTTTTCTAAGTAGTATCACACCTAACAACAACTTAAATTTCAAAGCTGGTTTAAACAAAATGATGTTATTCAAAATAAAAATGCTAACAATTTAGTGAATTACTAAAATTTCACAGATAGCTGGCAAAAGTAGTAGATAACTCAACTACAATGAAAAGTTTTTCAATTTAAATATTTTATTAAAAAACAAAAAAGTCATTAGAAATTGTGCAGTTATGTGTATTGACACTGCACCTAAAGAACACAAGTAGGTAGTACAGAAGTATGTATCTGGTTATTTACATCCCACCTAAAAAACACAAGTTGGTTGTACAGAAGTATGTATCTGGTTATTTACATCCCACCTAAAGAACACAAGTTGGTTGTACAGAAGTATGTATCTGGTTATTTACATCCCACCTAAAGAACACAAGTTGGTTGTACAGAAGTATGTATCTGGTTATTTACATCCCACCTAAAAAACACAAGTAGGTAGTACAGAAGTATGTATCTGGTTATTTACATCCCACCTAAAAAACACA